GGGGAACTGGATTCCCATACTAGATCTGTGCACCAGTGCAGAACTACATGCATACTATTGGGATTCTATTAAGAGCTTGAAATACACCTTGGTATGCTGACTTGTGGGCTCAGAGCCTAAAAACTTTTATTGTACTAAATGGTGGTCACACCAACTCACATAAAATCTTGTACCACACCACAAAAAAGGCAGCTTTGATAAGACGCCTTTCATGATTGTGCCAAATTCTGCTTTCTGACATTGAAAATGCCATTGACTTGACAAGGAGTGTTTATGTGTAGGTTGGGTAGCAATACCTTTGTTTAAATATGTGTTTCTGGGACCACAATATTAAAATGTGCTAGATCACTTTTCCAGAAAGTAAAGCAGAGCCATTTTGAAGAACTCATTTCTCCAAAAGAAAGCTGTTTCACTTGGAAAGTCAGATTCATCCAAAAAATATGAAGCAATACTAAAACAATTTTTGTTGTATATGAAACTACACATACTGAGAAGAAAAGAGACTGCACAGCACAGAATTGCCTGTAGATATATTTTTATTAAAATTGCACGATCCTTATAACTTATATATAATTTATTATGGCAGTAGCAACATAGCACTGATAACAATGGTGTTTCTTTTCTTTGATCCCGGGCTAAGAAAGCTTTTCAGATAGCCAGAAGCTTGTTTCCCTTTTAGAAATAAAGCCCTCTCTTTACCTCTGTTTAAACAGGAGGGTAAGTTACTGCTGGAAACAACTGCTCCGGAGTTTACTTCTTTTGCTGCTTTGAAACTTGGATTTCATATGAAGCAATACTGTCGACAGCTGGCCAGGCAAACACATTGCAGAAAAGGGGTGTACTTCATCAAATGCAAAGAAAATCTCTATCTTTTATGCCCGCCTATCTGCATTCTCCATAAATCTATCTCAAAATAATCCCTCTGAGTAATTATTTAGCAGCTTAATACCAAAAATACACCTGACTGTACAAGGAAGAACACCAATGAATCTCTAACCCTGGCATGGAAGATGAGAATCTAGAAAATCTATTTTTTACTCTGCACTTTCTAGCACTGCTTTTAAGTTAGCTACATATAAAACTTTTTCCCTTCTCTCTCAGAAGTTATGAGCAAGTTTAGCTGAGGAACTGGAGATGGTGTTACTCTTCTGGCAAGAACAGTAATAAACTTAAGATAGAAAACAGTAATAGTAATTGAAGGGCAAGAGACTTCTCTTAGATAAATACCTTGTAAATCCTGATGAAAGGAGCTGGTGGCATCTTTCTTAGACTTTTCTGAGTTGGAGACCTGTTTCTGAGCTGGAGATGTTTTTACAACAAGCCTTTTCTGCAGGACATTTTAAATACAAAGCATTAAAAGGAAGCCTTCTGCCCCTTTGTTTTACAAGCATAAACTTCAGTTTGTGTTCTGTGCCATCATATTTTTAATTATTCCAGCTTCACAAGTTCACAATTAATGAACAATTGCCAGAGACAACTGAAATGCAAACAAGGATTTCATCCCACCAGGCATAAATATATGCTGCTTCTATGAATCACTGTAGGCTTTTGCATATGGAAAATTCATGAACTCTCTTTGAATATCCCTTGCTTCTTTAAATCAGACTGTAAAATAAAACCATAGACCGATTTCAAAAAAAGTCTTTCAGTATTCATAAATGCAGGATTTTTCTTTCCAAAACAAAATAGTAATGGCATACAGGACAGAAATAGCTTATTTTACTTCAGCTACTCTATGGAATCTTAGAACTTCCATTTATGGTGTGGTTCTCCTTATTGCATGCTTTGTTTAATTATACAAATGTGATTTGAAAAACATATGCAGACAAGAAAATTTTGTTGCAGGAACAGAGATAAAACACACACACAGATTAAAGAAGGAAGCATTTGTTTATTAAGAAGGAAAAGGTTCTGGATGGCAGCACAGAGTCAGACATGAGAGAGATGAATGTATGCACAGCTGTTCATGTTTAAAGACAGAATATAGACATAAATACAATTAGATCTTTGCTCTGCTCTGCTGCTACAGTATTTTTATACAGTCAATTCAAAGGAATATCTGTCATAACTGAACATAAGGAAAAATTTATCAGAAACAGAGCACAGATTGCTTTCTCTAAAGCCAGGATAAACAAAGCCAAGAAAAGCTTCTCAAGCTAAGGAATTGCAAAATAAACTTAACTGTGTAAAAGAAAACCACCTTCTGTGGATGAGACGATTAAATGTCAGATACAACTCCAAGTCAGATAGCTTGTTCTTCTGTTTGAATAAAAGGCAGAAGGTAATTTTCCCCTGCTATTATCAGAGTTACTGCTCTGTCTGAAGCAAAGCCGGTATTGCTAGGAAATAATGCACTTTAAAGGCAATAGCTTGCTTTTCCCATGATCTGTTCAGCCTATTTCCAAAGGAAACCAGAGGGAGAGACTGATAAGGCTCCCCTCAAAATTGCCTCTTTAATACGTAGATACAACAATGAGACCATCCTGAAAAATCATAAGAGCTCAGCAAAAGATGGCCAAGTAATACAGAAGCGCAAAGCAGGCCTTACAAGAGGGAGATCATGAGTTAGCCCATAAGATATGAATTCTTTCCTGGGGTTGCCACTGTGTAGCCTTGTGGACATTAGTATTAGTTCTGCCAAGCTGACCCCCAGTACTACTTCGACCTGCTTTAAGCGAGTAAGATATTACACAATTATTCAATACGTAAGTAAGTATAAAGGCATTTAAGTGTAGCCTTTGACATTTCATGGCTCAAGTACCATATCTACAAAGTGGAAATATGTAAGTATATTATATCATGAAAGTTAATTTCTGGAAAAGAGTCTGGTGGGGTTTTCTGGAGTGCAATTGGAAAGTGTTTTAATTTATAAATAAAGCCACCATGGATTTACTGCCAAAATGGTTTACAATGAAATCTCTATTGCAATGTTTATGTCTTATGCTCACTTTTACACTTATTTCCCATTTAAAAGTTCAGTTATCTCACTTTAAATTATGCTAAACTTATTCAAGGTTATAGGAATTTAAAAAAAACAAACATTTTCCCCATATTTTCAAGTACATCTTGGATATTACAGCCTTTCTATTAGATTAAAAAAAAGATCATTCATCAAGAACATGCATCAACACCTGTAGACTTGGAAATTACATGATTATTACAACTATTCCATGAAATGTAGGACAGGCTCATTGTACAGCACACTTCTAAGGGTGCTGGATCAAACGCCTCGGTGCATTCTGCCTCTCAGCATAGGGCGAGTGGCACAAAAAAGCAGGAAAGACCAATCCAGTATGAATCCAGCTAGGATGAAGTCTTGTTAGCGGACGCAGGGCCAGGGTTTCCAGCTCCTCTGCTGCCTGACCTATACCACCCTAGGGCAGTGCAGGTAGAAGAAGGACTGCCATCACTTGTCACAGGTGCTAGGCAGTACACCGTCCCCTTTGATAGCACATTGACTGACATTTTGTTGGATGAAACTGAAAGACAAGGTCTTTTAAATCTAGTCCATCTTTGGGCATTCATCACTCAGATGAGCACTAAATATGCGTGTTTGTGCACACATACAAAACAAGCAAGTGCGGTTGTGTCACAATATTTGATGCCATTGTTGATGGATGGGACTGAATATGTTCTAGAACACATCTACAGAAAAGTATTCTTAAAATCGTTTTTAACTGTTATTATTCCTTAAGTAGTTTATTCTGTATGGAACAGTGATCGTTCAGCTTTTCCCCTCCTAAACATCAACCAAAGCTCAAGAACTGTTTGACTGTCTTATTAGCAATGTGCACCTTGGCACACATAGAGGGCCACGAGATGGAGCTCTCAGCACTTTCAAGAAGGTCCCTGCTACCCTGGCAAATGTCTTGGCTGCTGAGCGTGATGTAAATCTGCAGCAGTGTCAATTAAAGGAAATGAAAACATAATACTATAAGTACAATCCATGATTCTCATTTTATTACATGAACCTTCCAACATGTCAGCATTATCAAGGCTCCAAATTCATCAGACCCAATCATCAGCTGTGTGTTTTCTTTAAATTGCCCTTGAGATGAAGAGTTAGTGATTTTAAATAGTGATTGATTAAGCCCTGTTTCTCAATAAAATTAGACTCCTAACATAAGGAATTCATAAAATGCCAGAACATACAACTACACCCTCCTTAAACTACGGCTGAAACACCAAAGCAAGGAAAAAAGAAAGAAAAGGATGCAAAAAATGCAACCCAAGCTGTTTTATGCAGAAGTTGAACTCAGCCCACAGGGTCTACTTCAACTATATAACATGATTTTTATTCAAAAATCTGGGTAATCAATTACCCAGTAAAAAAATGCTATGTTGAATTTTAGGTTAAAAGTCACTTAGTTTACTAGTGGATTTACAGAGTTATTCTGTAGCTGAAGAGCTGAATACTCCCTCATCAGTATTTCAGAGCCAACATGAAAATGATTTTCCTGTAGGCACAGGTGGATTGCATTTCACCTTCTGACAAAGCAGCTGTTGAGGAACCATGCCGTAAATGAATTGAACTGAGTTTAACAAAGGGAGGAGGAGGAACTAACCTAGATTATTTCAGTGAAAGATTTACACGGTAACTCCCAAGAAATGTATAGGTGAGATATGTGGTGAAAGCTGGAAAGAGCACACAGACATAAGAGTTTGCATCTCTTAGGCAGGAATTGCTTCCGGGGAAAATATCCATAGGACTATAACCTGGTTGTGTGGCAGTTATTTCAGCATAAATCTATATATATTATGATGATGGGATATTAACAATATAGTTATTCTGTGGATAAACAAGTTGCCATGTTTTTGCAACATTTTACACTGTAAGCCTTTGACATGAAAAGACGCAAAACTACTCAAGTACCACTCACACAAGCATATTTATTATATAAATATTTTATAAATTACAGTATTTTCATTATATTTGTAAACATTTCTAGGAAAATAATGTTTTATATTCGTATTAATGTTTACAACTAATATAAGGCACATAGTGCAAAAATACATTTCTGATGCAGAGATCACAAAATAATTACCTACATGTGTTATCTAAAAAGCAGCTGCTTACACTTATACGGTACAGTATTGTTTTTAATTAATATGTATTGCTAAATCATGGCTAACTCTTTGTGGGTAAAAAGAGGAAATAGCTGCCATTTGACCTACCAATTTTACTGGTGTTTGGTGTATAGAATGCATACTGTCAGAAAAAGTATGTATAATTATCTGGTACATAATATATGTTATTAAGCAGGTAGAAAATTTCATTTTGAATACCTGAGAGTTGGCCCTGAACACATTGTCTTTATACTGCATATACTGCTACAGTTCTGGACTGTAAAGTAATACAAAATAACAAATCAAACAGCTAGGTCATTTTAAAAAATGTGTAACTTTCATATATTTACTTTTCTGGAAAAAAAAAATTAACTAGCAGATGCTAGAACTGTATTTACAACTATTCAAAAATTAAACTGAGTCAAAAATGGACAAGAAACATAATGGTAGGCTAATGATGCCTCTACCCAGCATTTTCACTAAGGATACTGGAAACTTGGATTATAAAAGGGAGGCAAGCCGCAGACTTTACTAATATGCCATTGGCCAATATGAAGGAATAAGATGTATATGGAAAGAGTTTAAGTAAATATATATTCATACAATCACATACAAGATGGCATGGTAAACTGAATACACTGCTTTTACAGTATGCTTGGGTGAGAGGCAGAGATTTAAAATTAAATTTCCAAGCAATTTGTTTCCGTATTTTCTTTCTTTTCTTTCTTTCTTACCCATAATAAAACTAAGCCTAGATTTTTAACATCTGCTACAGAGACCACAGAGTTTGACCATACGTTTCAGTACTACTGGTAGTATTTGAGCACCACAAAGAGAATAACGAAAGGGGTGGGGTTAAAAAATGACAGAGAAATGCACAAATCCATAGAAACTATCTCGGGAGAAAGTATATTAGTTGCATATTTTTCTGCTGTAACTTACTGATAGAACATAATTCCTGACAGGTTTCACAAAACTGGAACCATTTGAAAATGTCAGCTGTTTTCTCTATATAGCAATAACCTTCTTTCCTTTCTACATTTTAGTGTAGTTGATCAAGGAAATCAGTGCAGTATGAATTTTACTGAACACTGCATAAAGAATTGCACTAATTAGTTGCAGGTAAAGTTTCAATAATTATGATACAGTTTAAGGCGTTATCCACAGTAGTAACCTCAGTGCAATTTACTTGCTCATATACACTGTACATTGAACGAACGCCTCTCCGTTAAAATCTGAAGGTTTAGGAACTTGTTCATAATAGATACACACCCCTGAATATACCACAAATACATAACACACCCCTGAATAAACACTGAAGTAAACAGAAAGGAATTCTTAGTAGTGAGCATTACAGTAATGAGCATTACAGAGATAAAAGAATTAAAATATATGTATACAGCACCTATAATTCGCACCTAAAAGACAGATTTCGTGCTTCGATGTTCTTACCACATAAGTTCTCACTGTATTTGAAGCTTGAGACCAATAACTGTGTTGGGAATACATTTCCCACAAAATCCTCCACACTTCCCATATATTTTAGTACCATCCTGGAAATCAGACAAAGAGAACAATCAACCAAAAGAAGCGACTGAAGTCACAGTTGCACAAAGAGCTCCCAGAGGTTTGCACACAACAGACCTTTTGACAAATCACACCTACAAATACCAAATCAAGAGATAGCATTGAATTAACTAAACGTGCACAGAGATCCTTTATCATTATCCATTGTATACCTTCATTCCTTGCTTACTGTCCAGTGTGTTTTTAAACTGTGCAAGTTAACTGTTCTTGTTCAACTAGTCTTTTGGCTTCCCAAACAAGTCAAGTTGGAGGCAAGTATTCTGCGAGCATCCTCTACAGTAGGTATCTTTAATAAAGTGGCATCTTTCATTAAGTATTTTTAAGTATTATTAACTATCTTCTGCATCTTTAATAAGCCTGATTAATATGACAATAGCCCCTTAAAACCAGTAAGAGAAGGCTAGGTAGGTAGTATCGATCTGCATAAGTTTCTGGGTAGTATGATTAAACATGCTATGAGACCTTTAACAGTAATTATCAGGCCTAGCTCTCATATTCCATCTGAAAGAAGACTTAGATGGGTCAGGGACCTTAAGGACTATTTTGAGTCCGAAATAACTTTCCCCAGACAGTCATTACTAGCATCTCTGGAGGTATAATATTCCAAGCCATAACAGCAGGTAAACAAAAACGTTTACTCACGTGGGATTTGTGTATGTCAGCAGTTGCATAGTTGCCCTGAGCAATCCACCTAACTGTACTGGATAATCTCAGACCTGTACCAGCCAAATTAATGCTGAACTGTCCCTAACAAAACAAAAACAAAAGACAAAATAGCTAATAAACAGAGCTAATAAACTGAGTTTAAAACTCTAAAACACTTCATATCGGCACATCTGCACATACTACTTAGGGTATATCTAGATATTAACCAAAGGTGAGTATTTAAACTGGGTTAGTTAGTCTGTATTACATCCTTTTTGAGACACTCAGCATATATAGACACATGAACAAGTTATTCTGCAGTAAGTAGTATCTGGGATCAATTGATCTGCAGAATCTGTTTGCCTTGTCTGAATACAGGATGAACGTCAGGTAATTCAAATGAGTTTAGCCTCCTTTCTACATATTTAATTTTAATTTACAGAAAGTACAGACATGCTACACCTGCAAGGAGGAGACTGGTTTTCTTTAAAGATATGTTTTTTAAAGTTTCTGAACTTTTGGGAGATAACCTTGTTAGGACCTACTGCTATCTGGAAATTACAGACAAATCACTTTTTAGCTGTCTAATTCTCAAATTTTTGCAACTACACTCTCCACACACCACCTTTTTATCATTTCCCATTTCTTTCTCAGTATACCTGTTAACATAATGGAACATGAAAGTAAGTGGAAGTTAAAACAAATAAATTTATTGCTAAATGGAATACTTTGCAAAACAAAACATTCAAAACATTTTATTTATTCTAAAATCTTTGCTTATGCATTCTTTGAAAATTAGCTTTAAAACAGAGTCAGTTCATATGAGAATAAGAAACATCAAAAGCAGCAAACTTCACTACCTTAGAAAACAAACTAGGATACAGAAAAATGATTAAATTACATTCACACAGGAGCTCAATATGTTGGAAAGTAAGGACTCGCTCCACAAAGAGATTTAGGCACCTAACTGCCAGTTTAGGCAGCACTATAATCTTCAAAACCCCTGCCATTTAATTCATTAAAAGCCTAAATTTATTTATTCATTCTTAGCTAAAATAGCCTAAATCCTGAGACCAAAGTGTTAGCAAAGATAAAATATCCATTACCTACTGTAGCTACTGTATTTTATTGTCTAATATCATCATAATGAGATGCCTTTTTATATATATAAAGCAATAAGAAGAGAAAATTTGGTAGGATCATAGCACAGAAAAGTCATTGGAGGAGAAAAAAGACTGAGAAGGAATTTAGGGAGACAACGGGTACTTCACCTCGCGGTATGAATTTAAGGGGGAGGGAGATCTGTGATTCTGTGAGAGCAATAATGAAATCAGTAGAAATCAGATGGATATATATACATGGAACCTAGGGGGAAAGTGTGGGGTAAACAATTTGTGGGAGAAATAGAAAAAAAAAAGAGATAGTAGAACAGGAGAAAAAGGAGTAAGAAAGAATTAAAGTACTACACTGATGAGATGGAATAGGATACTGTTTTAGAACCTTACAGCTCTCAACTAGTCATACAGTTTTTTTTCTCTTAAGGGCACACTTTGAGGGGATAAGAAATCATAAATACCTGGGGACATCTGGCAGCACTATAGCAATCTCCAGCTGTAGCAAATGGAACTGCTCTCCCAAGCACAGTCTGAGCAAAAAGAAAATCTGTGGCTAGGAAATAGAAAATTATTCAACACTGAAACTGCTGCTTTAGAAGTTCAGGTGAAAACAGGGTGAAAAAGCATGAATACGTAATTTTGACAAACTGTGATTTAGGTAGTTCATTTTGATTAATAATAACAATAGTTAAGGTGGATCTCCAGATGTCAAAGATGGGGAAGCAGCCTAGACACTTCCCCAGTCATTACTACATGCTGAAAAAGCTATCCATGGATTTTCTAATGCCCTCCTTTAATATTTACAAACTTGTATACTGACACAGGGGAATATAATCAGAATAATTTGATAACTTTTGATATCCTTCTTTCTCTCTGTCTGTGGGATCTATTAAGTGTATTTTCTATGTTTTGTTAATTTATTGAGAATACACAGTCTCTGTATAAGAAATGCCCTGAGTCACCTTTGTGAACAAGAGCTCCAAAGTCTGAAATTATTACCTGGTGCAAAGAGTACCCTGCCCATAGAATATCTAGTGCATACTAATAAGAACAAGGTGAACTAGAACAAAGCTAGGTGCTGCTCCTGATAGTGGCATTCTTACACTTCCTGAGTTAATTACCCTGTTGAGACACAGATACCATACTCATGGATGTCTTTTTAAGCACCTAAAAGTTATTTACAAAAAATATCAGAGACTTCATCTTCAAAGTCAGTCCAACCTACATGCCTGATTTCTTTTCTGAGCTACGATGGGGATAGGAGGAGGACTAATGTGCGCTTGGACATAGCTCTAATATGAGCTGGATGTCGGTCAGCCTGCTACCTTCAGATAGGGGCCTGAAAGTGCTGCAAGATCCCCTGTCCTTTTTGTATGTCCTCCAAGGACTAAGAAGTTACTTTACTAGATAGCATATGACAACTTTCCCAAGAAGAATATGCCAGGGTCTAAAAAGGTCTTTAATCTAGCAGGAAATGGCATAATGGGAAGAAATTCCTAAAAACCTGAAGCCAGTTATACAATTCATACTTTGAATAAAATATCAATCTGTAAGATTAACAACTTGATCACCTGTGACAAATTAACAAGGGAAGTGGTTAAAAAATTAGGCTAAAGAAATTAGGAATTCAAGAAGAGTTGAACTGAATTGAAAACAGAAGAATTTTGTTTGCCTCTAACTAGCATAATTGGATCCATAAATGGGTTGAAATGACAATTTGGCAGTCGTGACCATTTTAAATTTCAATACACCGCTCACATTGGCTAGAACTGCTAAAACGCTTACTTCTGATTTGCATGGAGGCTACATCAAATCTTATTTTGCTAAAAATAGTGAAGCCAGCTGCAAGGTAGTCATTTCGACAGGCACAGTCTTGCCGTCTGCTTCCATTGAAAGGACATTCATACGGATTCTGTAACCTAGAGAATGGCAAAGATTTAGTTCTCCTTTTGACATTTTTCCATAATATAGTATCGTAGTGAAAAATAATTACACTGTACTGTGCTGCACTAAGAATATTATACAACAGTTACTGAACAAGAAGTTCAGCTATTAATCTTGGTTCTGTTGAAACGTTAACGTGGATTGGAACCATTTCTACTGAAGTGAAGACACAAAACGCATATAATCAGTTAGCGCAGTTAACACGCTCCAGCCTGGAAGTATCCACATTTCTGCAGGTATGCTCATATGCCTAAATATTTAAAACAGTAAATCAAGAAAAAATATTTCTACGCATCTGTTCTCTGCAAAGGTAAATGTTATCCTATTCTTTTATTTTGGAAGAAATAAATGCACTTCATAAAATTGCAAAACCACTTTTGTACCTCAATCCATATACTTCAGAAAAGTTGTCTGCTTCACCTTTTACCAATGTCAAATATTCTTTGGGATTCTCTAAGTGCATGCCTGAACAATAAATCTGCAAGAGAAAATACAACTCTTTAGCAAAATGTTTTTTTAACAAGTTTATTTTATAATTATTTTTATTTATAAAAATATGTGCTATACATATTAAAAGTACCTTTATCATCCTTCCTTTAATGTTAAGTAAGTATTCACCATCCTTTCTAATTCCTTTTTTAGTCTGGACATCTTTGCAGGTGGTGAGAATTTCACCTTCAAAACGAATGATTAAATCATATCAATATTTCATGAATAGAATTTAATTTTAAGAGTTACTTCTGCATAATTGTGCTCCAGATACACTTAGAGCTTTTACATAAATAACCTGGGAAAACATTTAGTTCAGCTGTAAATTACAGCTGTCACTTACATTCCTCTGCATGACAGATCTTTCTGGCAGCTGGTTTTAAACGTGGCAGGCACAAGTCACTGGATAAGCCATTTTCAGTCATACATTCTACTATTCTTTCCTTTACCCCCGCTCCACAAGCCACTGAGCACTAGATATGGATAGCAATCCAAAGTTAGTTTAGAAAGTAACACATAATTAACATAGGTATGTCTGCAAATTAGTCTTGGCATGCATTTATGTTTGAGGCAGCAATCAAAAATCAGCTTGCACATCTGTACTCACCTTAGTCCACTTCCCCACTTTCCAAGTAGCTCCTCGTGAACATCCTTTGATATTACATTTATAAATGTATGGGGAGGGCATTACTGGGCACTCTCGATATGCTACAGTTCGTAGGCCATAGGCATGTTTATTTTGAATAGAATAGATTCCAACACAGTATGTGATCCTCTGCTGGTAATCAAACCCACAGCTGTTTGAACACTAAAATAAAATCCCCAAGCAAAGACATTATTTCTGTGAAACTAAACCTTACTTCAGCACTGTAATTACAGAGAAGTCAGCCCTGATCTTCCTTTCCGCAAAAGCCTGTAATCTGACATGTGCCATCTCGGGGCTGGTTAATCAGCACGCAGAAGCGAAGGTCTACAATCATTATGAACACGAGGAGACAGAAGGTCCCATGCAGCCCTACTCTCACAGCTCAGAGAGGTTCCACAGCACTTCCCTCTCCATTACGGTACACACACAAACATACACAGACACACACACACGCACATGTATGTAGTGCAGGTGTGTGAGAGAAACAAAGGTTCGCTGATCCAACACTGTACTGAAATCCTGGAAAATATTTCTCTTTATTTCACTGAGATCAGACTGCAAGAGAGTTTCCCTGGGAATTAGCAAAGGAACTCTGTGGTAATGGCAGCTGTCCTCTAGCTGGTGTTCACAGGTCCCAGATGGGCTACCAGAGGATGGCCAGTGTAAAATGGCAAAAGTGGCTAAAGCATATTGGCAGCTGCAATAAAGGGAGACCAAGTGAAGGGAGAGAAAAGGAAACTTGTCACTCTGATCTTCCTGTTAGTATGTAATGCTTTCACCATTTTACTTATGGTGACTCACCCTTAATCATAACTCATAGCAAACAGGTCCTAGCACTGCCTTTTCCTGTCCATGTTCCCACTACCACTCATTTTAGCATCATTTAGCATCCCTCAGGATAGCACAGCCTTCTCTAAAAGCAAATACAGTTTCTTAATAACAACTTGGTTTCCCATAATGCTTTATAGCTGCCAAGAACTAGGGAACATGGACACAAAAGACTGATAACAGAGTCACTACAATAAATCATGGCTGATTGGAAGCTGCAATGTGGAGAAAGTTTGGGCACCCACGTTCAGATGAAAAGGTACATTTTTTGCTTCCCACACAAACATTGTACAGCAATATAATACTCTCAAGTGTAAACTTATATAAAAGATGTGTGATCAATATAATTACTTTACCTGTGACAATTCTCCTGTAAGTACAACATATTTAGAGGGAGCAATCCTGCAATTTTTGGTTGCTGGAGGCTTTATGGCAGGATCACAGAATTTTTCATCCACTTGGATCTGGTTTTCATCTACGCACTTAACTTTCCGGTGTACTTCCTTTCTTCTGTGTGATGTTGAGCACTGCATATGATAAAAACAATCACAATTTTGTACTTAAACTAATCATTTACAGAACAAAGTTATTTGCCAATTGCCACATGCCGGTAAAACCCAGACAGCAATGACTTTTATGATGTCTGTTATCTGGGTTGGACTGAATCAAAATCCTTTACATTGTTCTCCAAGATCAGGTACCTGCAAAAAGCCGAAAGAAACAGTGTATAACGACATGATAACACGTGAACTGAGATGGAGGAGAAATTGAAAATGTCAGGCCAAGATGATAGGCTGAGTGAAAAAGCTCTTCTGTATGAAAAGGAAAGAGGGGAAAAGGATTTCAGTGAAATGTGAGAGGAATAACTTGTTCTTGAAAACAAAACAGAAGATTTTTGGATGCCTGGAGGCATCCACATGAAATTACACTGATAAAACAAAAGAAAACAAAACTGCCTATCAGTAAAAAAACAGTGGCAGCTCTGGGCAGCTATATTTGTTGAGCCTGTGCCTCTGCCCTGACTCTCTTCACACCTTCCCCCTCCATGGCAGCCATATGAGGTGGAATATGATCAACAGTTCTGTCAGCATAGAATGAGAATCCTAGTGTTACCAGAATTCACAAAAATGAGAGTACGTGTTAAATAATACATGTTAACAACACACCTCCAACTGTGGAGGTTTGAACCAGTCTGTTCGACCTTGCTGTGATAGAGAAGACTCAAATACTCAAACTACAGCCTCAGCAGATGTAATTACCAATGCTACCATCTAGCATTAACCTGTTAACTCCAGCCACAGGCATGAACTTAACTACGTTTCAATTTGGACCCAACAAAGTCGGTTAGGAGACTCATCAAGGTTTGGTATGCAGGTCAGACGTTGTTACTATGGATCTTAAAGCAGCAATTTGAAATAAGGAAAACAGATACTGTATGGTAAAATAGATTTGCCAGAGGAAATCTCTAAATTTATGCTATTGGATCTTGAAAATCTCCAAAGATGCAGACTACATAACCTCCCTGGGCAACCTGTTCCACTGTCAGAACTGTTCTCATGGAGAAGTTGTTTTTGTTATATCCAGTTTGAAGTTCTCTCGCTTCACCTTACGCCTGTTGCCTCTTAGCTTCCCACTACGCGCCACTGGGGAGAGCCTGGCTCCATCCTCTTGATAACTTCCTTGTAGATACTGGAACGCTGCAACCAGATCTCTCCAAAACCGCCCATTTTCCAGGCTGAACGAGACCGGTTCCCTCAGTCTCTCCTCACAGGGCAAGTGCTCCAGCCCTCGACCACCTTCGTGGCCCTCTGCTGAACTCGTTCCAGCTTATCGGTGTCTTTCTTGCATTCGGGGGCCCAAAACTGGACACAATAGCTAGATGTGGTCTAACAAGTGCTGAGAAAGAGGGAATAATCACATCCTGTGCTCTCCTGGCTGTGCCCCTGCTAATGCAGCCCAGGACACTGTGGGCCTTCCTACCTGCCAGGGCACACTGCTGGCCGACGCTCAGCTCGCTGCTCACTGGGTCCTTCGGAGCCTTTTCCAAAGATGTGCTCCCCAGCCCTCCGTCCCCAGGTAGTGCTGCTGCAGGGGGCTCTTCCTTCCCAGGGGCAGCACTGTGCTTTTCTCTTGGTTGAATTTCATAAGGTTCCCCTGTTGGCCCATTCCTCCGGCCTGTCTAGGTTCCCCTGGATGGCAGCCCTGCCATTCAGCATGTTAACTGGTCTCCCCAGTCTGGTATCACCTGCAGACTTGCTGAGCAAGCACTCTGAATAGTGTTCTGTGAGTGCCTGAACTGAGCTCCAAGGAACTGCTCTACAAATTTCTGACTAAGTGCACTACTGAAAGAAGCTGCAGAACGTATCTGGGCTTACAAATCTCAGGCGACCTGAAAGCTCCAAACAAGGATGAGGCAGAGGTAAACCATCTTTCAGATGAAAAGCTTTAACCTGTTATTCTCTTCACATGAGCAAGAAACTAACAGGTGAAACAGTGACATCATGCTACTGATGTGGAAGAACAAAAGTCATATTACATCTGAGCCATTACATGCCACCACTCTCTGCAGTGAGTTTTCTGAGGAAAAAAAAAAAACAGATAAAAATCATCTGCATTAGGCAGAACTCAGGTCCTAAGACCTGAAGGAGAAATTTCAGTATAAGCCTCAAGATTTGGGCACTAAGCTTATAACCCACCCTCCAGTCATGTGGTCCGAAATTGTTGCCTACTTTCTTGAAAAGGTGAGGCAATGAACAGGCTGTCAGGGAATCAGAGAGAGCAATGAAAATGAATCAGAGAGAGAACTTACCTACCCATTTTGAATCAGGGTAAGATCCATGAGAGAATGACGTTCAGCAATGGAAGTCATACATACATTAGTCCTTTAAGAAATCTAGTCACTCAGAGAATTAAAAAGTTGTGTAGTTTTAGCAGGGGATGGAGCATTGATAGAGTTGACAGATGCAACTTATACAAACATCCGATCTTTTAATGACATGGAGTAGCTCAGAATATTAGAGACATAAGGAATAATCCAATCATTTGGAAATAGGGATAGGCAGAAGAACACGTTTGATTATGCTCTATATGTCATTCCTGCAGCAATTCTTCTATATGGTATGAGAACACATATTTGGTATGAAATTGCTGGCTGCTGATATCAGCCAGGCTTCCAGCCTTCTGTAAGCCATAGGGATGCCAGACCTGGAAATTGTTCTGATATGCTGTGACTGGTGAGGTAAGGAAATGACACACAAAGAATCAGAGCAGAGACAGCTGGGCAAACTATTCTGATATTGAGTTCATCCTGCACCAGGAGTGGAATACAGATGGATAAACTCTTGAAGAACCACTATTAATGCTAGATGTACAGGGCGTACAGATGTACAATGTGAATCTGGTGAGAGAAGGGAATTGAACAAAGGCATTTCAAGAAAAAAGCAACAAACGTGGAAGAAGTTATGAACTAGCCAGAAGATATAGTGAAACACAATGCATTTGTAGTGTGGAGCTCTGAATACCCATACAAATGTTTAATGGGTAAGGAAAATTCACCCTTATTCTCTGAAAATGTTTATTTCTGGCTAAAAGTACATTCTGAGCCACTTCCACTACAAATCCTGCATTAAACAAGTTCCCATGAAAAGGTAACTCTTGGAAGAAGCTTATATATAGTCAGCTTTCTCTCTTTATGTGATTTAACAGAGGGAAATATGCCAGAGTCATGTGAATATTATCTAGGCTTTTGTAGAACATCAGCAAGTGATTTACGTATTACCAGCACTCACTTCTACAACATAAATATTGTACCTCTTGGAGTTTGGGGTTATCATATGCAAATTTCCAGGGGTTACATTTATCTAGAAAATTTTAAAATGTAGGTAGATGCCACAGCTGTACAAACTGGATTTTTATTTAGTGCTACAAAAAGGGAGAGGCTCTTCTGCACACCATTTCAGGTGTTACCTACAATTTTTGGTTCTCTCTCTCTTTTTCTCTCTGTATGTGTGTATATGTTTATATATAAACATAAGATTTCTTAAAGATGATATGTTTTATTTCGCCTCTTATCTTTTCCGGTAAATCTTCACATACAGACATTCTTGGAAGAACTGTTTTCCAAAGATTTTATGTCTGTGTTTTTTTACTGAATTTTCCAGCTGATATTTCATCTATATTTCTATTTTTTAAATGTGATTTTTGCATGATATTTTATCATGAGGTCTTATTAAACATTTTATACCATTTATAAACAACGCTGTATTAGAATTACACAGTTCTGTCAATAGGGACCTGCTCATAGCTTCACTAAAACTTTTGTCTACAATGGTAGACAAGTAAGTTCAGTAATAGGGAGAAAACGCAACCCTCAGAATTTTGGGTCAGTTTCTTTTAGTTTTGCAAGCTTGACCTTCAAAATATCCAGTATGTTCACTTGTTTGTCTGCAATCTAAAAGCTATCAGAAATGCATTCAAAGTTGAAAAAATAAGAAAACTCATTACGTCACACATTGTTACCTCATACAAGTTGAAAGGGCCTTACTTACATCTTCCCATTCATCCGTCAACCACCTGTACTGCACACAGGCAGGCAGCCAACAGTGCCTTTTGCTAGGGGGCCGAGTATCATGATTACACATTGCTTCGTTCACTTGACCCAGACCCTTCAGCTGACAGTAGATGTCCCTTTGTTGAATCCCCACACCACAGGATACTGAACACTAGAATTGAGCAAAATTAGTTATGTCAGTGTGAAATGAGACGGTCAATGTGGAACGGTTTCCATATTTACATGATCTTAGAATACTATTTAAAATAGTTCACATACATACTTCACAGTCCCTAACATAGTAGTCTTACAGCATATCTGAATCAATTTATGATGAAAACGTAAAACTATCATTAAAAGCAAACCTTTAAGAAATATGGAAGATGCATCCAAAGTGCTCAGATTGATCTATCTGCTTATCTTAATTCACAGTAGGGACGCTCACTATATGCATATCCAAAGCAAAAGTGTAAGTTTTTGCAAGATCAAACAACTGAAAAATTAAAGTTTACATCATACCTTTGTTAAATTAAAGCATAACAGGCTGTTATGTTGTTTTAAAAAGCAAATATTAAAAGGAAAGAAAGATATCTCGGTATTTCCGGCTACAAAAATCTCACAAAAGGTGCAGCATGTTGAACTGTGGTGAGCTTAAAGAGTTTCAAATGCTTCCTTGTTATAATGGTTGTTATAAAGCTTGTTATAATGGTAAGATTTGCTCAGATGAGAGTAGAGAGCCCACTGCTATCCCAGTAAGAAGCAAGATTAGGTCCTAAAGCCTACCAGAAGACTCAGCCTAATCATAAAGTAGATATGGCTCTGTCAAGCGTGGCAAAAATGCAGAGAGAGCTGATAAATGGCATTCTACGTTTCATCACCACTAATTTTGTAACTGAGCTTGCATCATGTACTCCTGTGATATGCAAGGCTTACATGTTTTGTCTCTAAAAGGTCAGAGTCTGGGTCTTTTGGAGACATAACACTGGATGACATCTGTTTCTGTACCTTTATGTGTATTTTAACACTCGTTATAGCTTAGGAATGGTCTTTAATGCTTGGGGCATTAGTCACTGTTTTTTCTTCTTGATTTTCAATCTGAGTATAATATCCAATTTCTCTGGTGTTTGTCTGAACTTAGATGTACCAGTCTCCTCAGGACAGGAGGTGAATCACTTCAGTTTCTCAAAGAGTTGGAGTTGGAGGGGGAATCTTGAGAAGTGGGGATCTTGAGACTTGTGGCAGATGAGAAAGAAAGGCACTGATTCTGTTCTGTACAAGGTAAAACAAATGATTGTGGCCCCTGTGAGCAGTGCTAGGCCACCACAGAATAGGGAGGGTTTAATACCAAAGCACCAATAGTCCTTACTTCATGAAGCAAAGTGGAGATGTTAAAATCCTAACAGAGTTGGATAAAGTACTTCTTTTTAAAGGCTTCCTATATTAAGGGAGTAATATAGTACGGTAATCACAGGCATGTGATTATTGAATTAAAACACCAGAAATGCCAGTAGTTAGCTGGATATCACTCATTAGTAGGAGTGTCAGTGGAAATTAGAGGGAGTTAAGGCTGGGGGAGGCTGACCCTCCATATTCATGCCTAGAGGAGAAAGACATGAGACCACATTGTTTCGAGTGTCAAGGTCAAAGGTACGATTGTTGGCATGTGTCCCAAGAGTAGACTCCAGCCTGGAACAAAAGTTAAATTACTTTTATTAGCGGAATATCGTCTGGGTCTCTGACTTAGCCTGGCCAATTGGTGAATTTGAACATCTGTACCAGAGATGGCCATAGAAATTCTTATTGACAAAGAAGTAGAGGCAAGTTAAGATGGTTCTTGACGTAATATGTCAGACTGAACCATCTTAGTGCATTTATATCACAGCCATAGTACCAATTCTCTCTCATATTCCCTCCTTTGTACGCACAGAACCATGCACTATTATTCTTTAGTGCAGCTTTATCTTATGAGGATTTCAAGGCTTGAGCAACCACTAAATGATATGAAACAGTTCTTCCACTCTCCCTGTATCAGTGTTTCCTTTTTAGATACTCAGTCCTCCCAAATTACAGTATCTGGCAAAGATACCTTTTGAAGAAACAGAACAAATGTTCTTACACAGTTTGAATGGGAAAGGCTCAATGCCAGATGCTAGGGTGAGAATATGTTTTCCAGATACAGTTGTAACTTAACCAACAACTTTCTAAGGGTCTACATGCAGGTATAACAGGCAGAATTGAGTCTGTACACACACTTTTGTTTTTACGAGGTTTTCATCACCACAAATGTTTCATATAGCTTACCACAGAATACATGAACTTCAAAACAAAAGTAAAAAGACAAGATGCTGGAACAGAGAAAGTTTTTAAAATTCCTCAGCCCACATCTTTGAGGACAACCATGAGGACAATGCTTTTCATTACAATCTAAAATGAAAAAGCACTAGAATGAAATTACTTACGGTGGATGATTTAACTGCTGTAATAATTTATTCAGTCTGAGAGTATTGTCACTCAGACACATAACTAGAGTGGACTTTTCAAAGATGACTCAGACAAATTCAACTTAAGGTGTAAAACAAAATATCTACTAGCCTTAAATATAGAAACAAGTTTGATAGGTTAATTCTGGAGAACATTCCTGACTTTTGTACAATCTCTGCTTCTAGTCCATGTTTTAGGCAGCAGCTAAGCCTTTATTGCATCCATTTCATTTATAAACCAATTGATCTATTGGTGATTCTTTTAACTCCCTCCCCCTAGAGCGGCCTGGGTCTATTAGTTGTAGTCCTCTGAGACTGATCACCTTTGTTTTGTGTAATAGGCATTTTCATTAGGATTCAGAAATTTCACACTAATAGGTTCATACAGGAGTGCAAAAGAAAAAATCGCCAAACCAACACAACCAAATCTGTTTGCCCTTTATTCTAGGGAATATTTTCTTCCACTTCTTTAACATTTAATTAAATTAAAGCAACATACTATCCACTGATCTCACTTTAAAGGAAAGTGAAAAGATAGACAGCTATTTCACTTTTCCTGCAGTGAATATTCACTGATCTGAGAAGCAAGAGAATTTAGGCCAATGATTATGGCATTCACTCGAAAAGGAGAAGACCTGGCTTCTAGTTCTTGCACCACAAAATATTTTAGTATTTTCTAGAAAACAAGGCATCAGCTAGGATCCGCCTTGGAAGAGATTTCTCAGCAGAAATTGGCATTGCATTATCTGAGAAGGGGAAAAAATATTTCATCTTGGTTATCTCTGGCTTTGAAGGTCTGATTCTTCCCAGTCTTGCGTAGAGGGATGCAGATGCCCAACATGGACCTGTGAATTCCAGCAAGAGGCACAGTGCCTAAGAGAGCGGCAGCAGTAATAGTCCCCTTTGTGAACCTCTCTCTCACATCTCTCTTTACTGTCCATTTCCACCTACCTAAAATTAGAAAGATCCAGCTTTGTAGCCAGCCTAGGTCCAATTCCAATACTTTAGTAGCACACTGGGAGCAGGACAAAGAATCTGTCTCATATACCAGCAAGCAAGAGAAATGTCCCCTGGGTATAAGAAAAATATTGGTTTCTGTAGAGGGAATATCCCAGAAGGGAGGTACCGCACCCAACTGTTCTCAGAGGTCCTTACACAGCGAGGAAGAGAAGAAATTGTGATTATGCAATAACTGGCAAATACTTGCACTGTCTGTTCTAGATCAAGACTGACCTTTCCTTTATCACTTCCTGATCTGGGTTCCCAGGTGTCTTAAACACTGCGGGGAATTACATTAGGCAAGAATGAGTGAAATACAAAACATTGCCATGTGCTCAGTTACACACAATTTCATCACAAGGTGAGATATCTTTTACTAGACCAAATGGTATTACTGGGGGACAATGCCAGCATTTGGGTACACAAGTCCTTTTTCTTGTCCTCTCCCTACCAATCCAGCTTCACTTCGATATTCAGACTATGATATCAACAGCAATGGTACTACTGAATTAATCACTGTGGGTGAGAAGTAACCTTTTAAAATTTACTATAATCTTGATTTTACAACATAAGTCAGCCTTCCACTCTTGAAGACAGTCCTAATAAATTATTCTGTACAAGGTTTAGGCTGGCAAGTACTTTCAGTTTTCTCAGATATTTCTTTTAAACTAATTTAAACAAATAAAGAAAAATAAAATATAAAAAGCTATTTGCTAATTTGTAGATTTAATTGTGAACTGCATAAAAAAAAAACCTATCAATTATTTTCATTGAAGTAACGTGTCACGAATATGGTCTCTTGTCTTCTACTCTCATAGAGAAGATGAACATAATTATACCAGATTTTACACACCTCTTTCCATTTGTTAGCTTTCCAAGCAGGACATCTTCCAGTTCTACAGATTTTGTATGTCCGTGGTTTTTTTAAATGGCTGCAGTTTCCTTCCTCTATTTTAGCTTGGAAGCTATTAAAACAATGCACATCGCGATACTTCAAACCTTTCCCACAGGAAACAGAACACTGAAAAGAAAGAGAAGTATACTGTATCACTTTAACAAAAATCTCTAAGTAACAAGAAAACCAAAAAAAGCTGTGTCCTAGCCCAAAATGGATTCTAGAGTTATAGGAATAAGTTTTTGTATTCTGCCATAACTTCTGCTATACATGTCTGAAATTTCTGGATAAGTTCTCTACTACTGAATGTTACTGATCAGCTGCCAACTATCTGTCAGGTTCACTCATTCATGTAATCACTTATAAATACCTGAGCTCAGTCATCCACACAGGAGATACCTGGATGTTATGATCTCACAACAATACACTCCAGCTGCCTTCTGCTTCCAGGAGGTGTATTGCTATTTTTGTGTAACAGTATAAGCATTTAAAAAAAAAAAAAAAAAAAGCAATGCGTGCCTATGCATGTTTCCAGCCATTAGGCTATGAAGTCATGTTTTCTCTGGCACCCCCCTTTCAGGAGCTTTGGATTCCTTGCTGTACAAGGCACAGAGGCAAGAGAAAAGGTGGAAAGTAGCCATCAGGTTATAGTGCAGTCCTGGTAGGCATGGCTTTACACCCTCCCAGGTCTTGTGTTTCCTCCAGAGAGTTGCAATGACTGGCTCTAGGACCTTCTCCTCACAGAATTTAAAACCAATGGAGCCGCAAATGTATTTTGTGAAACCAATCCTGATAGTATGCACTAGTCAAAATCAGAACATATCTGACAGGTCAGTCTCTTCTGGAGGAAGGGCCTTTGCCCTGTTAAAGTGAGGCTTGGATTTAATTGTTTCGATCAAAGCAGTTCTACTCATAAGCACAGCAGACTGCAGGTGCCTACGGAATTTTTAGTCAAACAAGGAATATCTGATGCACTTCCCAATTAGGTGGCTGTTTAGCTGACATATTTTGGATCATAAGCCTTTTGAATGTAAGCACTAAAGTCTTTTTTTTAATCTTGCCATTAATCTTTATGTTTTCATTGTAATATCAAAAAGTTTTGATATATGAAGACAATTCCTTTTCTGTCTGGAAAGAGAACATGGCTAATTTGTTCTAGGATTAACTCTGTGATTTATTCTGCATTTGGGCAAACATTTCCTTTACAATCTGGTAGAGAATTAGTATGCAAATCAAAACTTAATTTCTAAACAGATGTGAAAAGAGGATTTAACTATAGACTTTCTTCCCAAGCACCTAGGATATTTTTCTTCCTTTTATTTTACATTGTCATCCATGTCACTAGATCACACATTAACTTAATCAAGCATTTTTAATATATATATATATCTTCTGTTTTCAGGAAATTAAGTTCACAACATGCATCTCTCCCAGTATAAAGCCTGGCAAATATTTGCCTGGGAACAACTACTGCAAAGGAGATTTTAAAATACAGAACCAACAACTATTCCAAATTAATTTGCTAAAAAAATTTTTTTTTTTTTTTACAATAACAGTAACTACACTTCATTAAATAGAATCTCAGCTGACTCACCCACCTTTAATACTACAGGGATTTGTTCGTGCGCTTAAACATTTAAATGTCGGAGTAATCTTATGGATTTAATTGAAACTGCCAATGTGTTTAAAATTAAAACATTGTGGGATAAAGTAATAAATTGCCATTATCCTACAAGACAATGGATATCATTTTTCTCTTACAAAAATGTAACTATATTTGCAAAAAGACAGAGCACTGAACTTGCCTTTTACATATCTGCTATACAGTTCCAGCAAATGAGGATATTTCTAAATTAAATCATTTTGCTCCGAGCAAAACCTTTCAACTTACAGTTTTGTAGTTTTACAATTTATGTTTCATTAGTTGCGATACTGTTTGAAGACAAGGAAAATGCTTCATAGAAAACAATTACCCGTAACTAAATTATTTTTATCTGTGAATAAAGTAGGTCAGAAAACCTACAATTCTGCAAACCACATAATTATAAAGCCATTTCAAAAACCAGCTCTGATTTCAGAGGATATAAACATCAAAGCAGGTATAGATAACAGGTACACATGAAAAATAAAATACTGAAGTGATCTTGATAAATGCGTTTACCCTCCCTTAAAGCTTTTTCAGGAATTTCAAAATGAATCATAAAACGTAGGTACAGAAGAACACCTAAACCCTGTAGATCTTTCATTCTTATTTTTTAGTAGAATGTAAGTTGAGTGCAGCACAAGCTTACTTAACTTCCTTCTATGATGTGTTAGGAAAATATCATATGACCCTCCTTTCTCAATGGCTTTCACCTGCAAAGCATAAATTAAGCTCCAAAGGCTTAATCCCTTCTAGTCCTTGCTGGGACTTCATTCAAGACACAGAATTGCAACCTAAGAAGCTGTCCTAAGAAGTCTCCACTTCAAGAGGTGAGGTTACTATAGCACAGAATATAGAGATAACCTTACCTTTTAATTTCTTGTTGCCCTCAAAATTAAATATCAAGACAATACTTTTCAGTACATGTACATATTTGTTTGTATAGGCTGTGCAGATATCTTTTATTCAATAAAATGAGAATTATTTTAGAGGGTGAATGGCTGCTGATGTCAATAGAATACACAAACAAAACATTTACTCTGCATCTCAGTCTTCCAAAGATTTTCCCATAGCCTCCCTACTTATTGAACATAACATTACATGTTTACTTTTACACAGGGTAGTATGGGGTCTGGGTATGGGTTTTTTAAGTCAGTGGTTCAAATTCAACTGAACTACATCTCTTTTATATTAATACAGCTTAATTTAGCATTTATAACTTGTGTTTTTCTTTCTAGAAAGAAGTTGAAGATTTGTGTATTCAATTAATATATTATAGTTGTAAGACACTTCTTAGATGTTATAGAGCAATGTCTATATGAAAAGATTATTCATAAAGATATTCCACTGAATTCTGTAATATACAACTACACAGGAATTAAGAGAATCCACATTTGCTTTTTACCACATTAGAGGGGAAGCTGAAGAGCTAGTTCAGAAAGAAAAGACAAGTTTGGGTGTTAAGAAGAAGAGAAGCTTTATGAACAGATATTTTAAATAGCATTTGAACTCTAGCTCAGCTACTGTTTAGTCAAATACAGCTCAAGCCTTCTGAAGCCTATTGTTATCTCAATGTAAAATGTGGAAACATAGATGAAAGATTCTTAAAAATCTACAGGCAGGAGTACTTTTCAATTATCTTTAAAGTAGTTTGGTATTTAAAAATGTTTCATTTAATTATAAGAAATATAAATTAATGACCCAGTAATGTAAGTTTGGACAAATAAATTGAAACCTTCTTTTTTTTTTTCCCCCCCTATAAGAGACAATAAATTACTGCATTTTACCTGCTTATACTAGGAGATTATCCCCATTTAAATAACCTTTTTTTCCCCAGGGAGTTTATTTTTCACTCCATGTTAATTTAATGCTAGCTGTAACAACTTAAAAAGGCGGGTTCAACAGTTTGGGATTATGTTGAAAAATATCTTCAAAGTGCAGTAAGTTCTCATACACAAAGCATAAGCTTTCCAGAAATACAGAGACAGCATTTCTGCATAAAGATTTGGTATCCTTTTGTTTCATGTATTCATCAAATTAAGGATCTGATCCTGTACTTCCAGTATCCAAACCTCCTGTTGAAAAGATCACACTCTAAAAAAGAAACTTCACTGTGCAAGCTGTAATTTTATACTGTTCTAATATGATGTATTCTAATTTATTAGCTTTTTAAAGTTTTTCTTTAACTTAAAAGTAACAAAAGAACATTGACGTTTAATTCACTAGGGTAATGCACGTTTGTTGTTTCACTGAAGGAATAAAAACATCCTGATACGTTTGAAAATTAGAAAAAGTACTCAATGATGGACATTAACTAGTTGTAAACTTCGGCTTAGAAACACAATTGTCCAAAGTTTAAAAAATAGGTCAACCATTAAACTAAGAAGTCCCTCCAAGTAGCTTTGTTAGTTAATCTAAGAATGATTTGGGTACTTAGGGCATTTGGAATTTCATGGAAAAGCTCCTGCGAACTTCTGTGGGGCTCCAAAGGGCCAGATTCTTAAATCTGTTGCAGTGAGCATCTCCTGACCAAAATCAATGAGAGGAAGAGAAACCTAGATATCCCTGTGGACCAGACCTTTTGCATCTTCAACAGGACCTAGATAACATTTAGACAACAAATTTCAGGGTTGTGATTCTTAGTCTTGCACACGTCAGTTGTTTCTGGAAGCACTTACACTGCACTAAGCCACAGTCTGAGACCTTAAGATGTTCCTTTGGTGGTTGAATAGTCTATTTCTACAAACACGGACAAGCCTTTTAACAGACTCACCAGCTTAGTGCTTAACATGCACATAAGGATGATCAGGAGCCTGAAAACAGTCTTTCCTCTAAGGGGCTAAAAACCAATCGCAGTTGCTCTAAGAGTACACTGAAAAGTACAGCAGGTGAATGAGGCACCTTACAAAACACTGTGATATGCATTACTTAATGCAACTAAGGAAGAGAAATGTGGGTTTGTGGTTTTTTTTTTCTTGTTTTAAGCATTAAAAAGCATTCACCCCAGGATCATCAATGAAAATTTCTAGAGGGTACGTTACTCTGTATGTACAGTACTCTTCTCAACCAGGAAACATCCTGGCTTCATTCCTTATATAATACATAATCCCTTTAGGAACTATTTTATTATTTCCGCCCAGAATGCACTTGCATCAGATCAGGCAGGCTCAGCTGTGTTCTTTATTGCACAGTGGCCCACCTTCATCAGTAGAAATGAAGAATGCTCTTGTCCAACATAGCTTCTCATTGGTGACTTCTGACAAGTAGGAGATGAAGGCTGACTGTCCTCCAGCACAGAGAATGCATAACAAAGAAAGGAAACCAGGTCTACCAAATGCTGAATCAAAAGCTCCAATGAAAAGGAAATGGGGATGTCTCTTCTGGCTTTTAAGATAGAGCATAGCTCCTGTTCAGATCTTTGAAAGAAAAGCACAGGATCCAAGCTTGCAGAGATGATCCCAGACTGTGAATCCCAAGTGGCTAG